TCATTAAGTTTAAATTTAATACAACTCAGTAATATTATATAATACCTAGGTGCCTATTTATTAGGTAATACAGTTTTATTATTGTAGAGCTATAAGTATTTTTTCCGAACGTTGTTATTGTAAATGAAAAACATAATACATACGTCATACACATAAAATATAAATTGTATGACTCATGAACTATGGTTGATATTATACCTACTGGCTACGGTCGTTTATAAAATCATAATTTATAAATTATTTTAAATTTATTATTACTTACCTACACTAAAATACTAACTTTTATTAGGTACCCCCAACGGTTAATTGTTACCAACTGTAAACACACACCTTATTATAAGTTGTTCTATCAACTTGTTTTTTATAACTTATACTTGAGTTTGGAGTACAATCGTGAATATAATAAATTAATAACCCACCTTTACAATAATATTAGAACAATAACGGTTCAATTATCTAAACATAATTAGATGGATTTAAAAAAAAAAAATTAATATCTACACTGAAATATTTTTTAACAATAATCGTTGGGAAGTAAGTTTATTAATTTACTATTATATAGGTACATTAATCATTATTTGATAAACGTGTTATTATAGTTTATAATTTTAACGTCTTAAAGTATTATATAATTGTAATTTGTATCCAAATTATCTGTATCATTTAAATATAAGAAATCTAATACCTAAACTGATATATATATATATATTAAGTTTGGTATTCCAAAATTTTGAACCAATATTTTAAATATTTATATACAAATTTAATATCAAATTTTTTCACGATTTATTTATTTATTTATTTTATATCATAGCATTTATTTTGGTAAATGGTAATTCTGTAATATTATTTATAAGGTTTTATTTAAGGATTTTGAACTAATTATTATGATTCCATATTCCATAATATATAATGTATATATGCGCATGCAAAATTTTTTAACTCATAACATGTCATTTGAAACTATCAATAAACAAGAAATTTATTTAATATATTTTTTTATATGTTAATAAAAATACTCAGCCCTCAAGTTATGGTTTTACACAAAATTAGTAAAATAAATTAACATATAATTACCAGGGTAACTTAAAAAAAATATTTTTTTTATTCATAATCACATAGGTTAGTATGTAATATAGTACCTATTTATTACCATCGATTGTAAATCATACCTAATTATTAATAAATTAAGTTTTACCGACAATGAATCAAACTTAGAAGTCTGAGTTATTATAATCAATGGTAGTAAGTAGCCAAGTAGGTGCATTTTTTTAATCATATTATAGATGTACAAATGATAAATTAAAATAGTATATATATATATACTAATTGTAATCAAGAAGGTATCCTTTCTAAATCTAATTCACATTTTATTTTAAGAAGATTTGGATCAAACGCATATTTTTCTGCACATTGGTTGAATTCTTGTCCTGTGCTGGCCGCCTCAATCATAGCTTTTCTCATTCCATCGGTATCTATTGTCCTCAGGTTGGTCACTAATCGTAATGCTGCCCACACTCTTATGTGAGCCGTAATGCACCCGTGATTATAATTTCCGTATTCACCACATTGATAGTCCCACGGTAACGTATAATGGTATTGGGGCCACAGGCTTTTGTTTATGACGAATACTAGATTTGTTTGAATAGAATACCTGAATAAAAAAAACTGGGTTTAATTTAAATCTAGTTTATACCGTTTAGGTGAAGTCAGATTTTTCATCGAAAAGATTAATATTAATAAGAGTCATCTTATTTATCTTAAGACTTAATAGTTAATAACAGGTAACGGTAACGCATAGTATCTATTATACATTAAGTTATATGATTTTATGAACCAATAACTACTTAAGTATTTTTATCTTAATTTGTAAGTATATTATAATCAGTACCCATAGCAGTTAGGAACTTAAATACCAAATAATTAGTATACCCATATTTTCAATTTATAAAATTAATATGATAATTTAAAAATTGGATGTTATTTTAATATTTTTACATGTTAATTTTGAAATATTGTTTATAGTACCTAGGAAATTGTATTATTGTTGTGGATGTTTACTCTTACGTTACTTTCAAGTTTAAATTTGAATGAAATAGTAATCGGATTTGTTAATGTAGATACAGGTATGATATTAAGTATTAGATAAAGAAATTAAAACTCCGTAATTCTGCCAATATTGTACTTCTACTATGGGCTTTGTTTATTGTTTATAGGTATATAATATGTATACTGTGCATACAGTGTATACATAGCCAATAATAAATAAATCGAAATTCATGGGCTGTAATGTTGTGTCATCATTTATCATATACTTATATGGCTCGTTTTTTTAAGTAGATACAATAGGTACATAGTACATACTACCTACTACCTACATAATACACTATTGATTAAAAAATATACAACAATTTTAAATTTTAAAAAAATTAAGAAAAAATGGGTTGAAAAAAATAAAGCATAAATTCACAATAATTTTTTTATGAGCGTCTGAAGTTATTTTTATAGTTGCAAGTTGTAAGTTATAATATATTATGTTGGAAGATATAACTTATAAATTAGATTATAGCACAACATATTAAAACCATATAGATATTACATAAGAAATTAAATTAATTTTCAGTAGTCACTACCTATTTATAGTTTAATAAATTAAAACCTATGTTGATTTATTACTTATTAGTATATTTTGTTGGCTTTTTTAATAATATAATAGTACGAAATGTATTAATTGTAAATTTGTAAATTACTTGTTAAGTGGTTCTAGTCCCCAAATTATCGTAGCCGCATTTAAAATCCAACTGTAATGTAACGATACTGTAACTCTGAGGAATCCAACGATAAAAATTGAACACACAAGTGACTCATCCCAGAGCTCAGACGGCAAAAACACGGTGACCATCACCAACAATGGAGCCAGCAACCAATAAAGTCTAAAGCGAAACATAAAAATAGGTAGTATTATTAATGAAAACTTAATTGGAAAGTTTTACCTTTTTTGCCACATTACAATTGGATCTTGCTCCAAATCTTTGCCATCAATAGTTTTTAACAATTTCTCATGATCAGGATGACTTGTTACCAATTTGTTTGTAAAATATGCATAGAAAAAGCCTCGGTGTGGGTTAAAAGGATCTTTTTCTGTACCAAAATACGCATGATGCAATCGGTGTTCTAACACCCAGTTGTAAAGTGATCCCTGAAAATAATATAATTGTATTAGAATATCTTATACATAAACATTTTGATGATTTGTACATACTTGACATATTAAAATCTGTGCAAAAGCCAAGAATCCTCTGAGCACGGTACTGGCTCTGAAGCTTAAATGTGCCCATAATCGATGAGCCCCAGCACTTAAGCCGAGGACAGACACATAGACAAGGCATATCGCTATGGAAATGATTTCAATTTACTATTTAAAATAGGTTACCTACCAAGGTAGTAAATAAATACAAATATGAATAGTTATCTGTAAAATCTAAATAATTACTATAAAATATAGTAGTCCATTTAGCTTCAAAAACTACGAAGTAGAGTCCGATCAAAGCAGAAAAATGAAGATATAAATAAAAAAGAACACTTGGCCATCGCGTTTCTCTCGGTATTCTGGTGTCCTTATCCGCCATTATAAATAGATCTGACCAAAACTACGGACTTTAAAACTTTTGTTTATGCACGTCCTTTTATTTAAAATATACGTTGAGATCAATATGTCAAATGAATACTAATTCAGATACGCATTTCTGCCAAAAAAAATAAAAATTATGTATAATTAAATTAATTACAAGCATCCGTAGAAATTGGTATCTATAAATATTATGTATCAAATATGACTCGTTATTCGTGTAGCATGAACGTGTAGAGTAATTTATTGGTTTACCTTAAATAAACGTAGGTATTTTGTACTTACCTTAATGAAGAAAAAGTCTTCGTCGAAGTCCGGCGAACAACTGTGTGAACGTATACACCTCTTGAAGGTCAATCGTATTCGTCGACCTGTTGATTTTACATACATACGATTTGATAGAATAGATTTATAGTATGGCGTCTACGTTTGTCGCATAGTAATTATTATGCGTACTTATTCAATATAGTGTACTTGTTATTTCGGTTGGACAATAGTTTGACAAAATAATATGCAATATGTACCTATGTTGTCAAGTGATATTAATTTACCAAACAACTATAATAATATATGAAATCAATGTATCCCGGAAATCCTGTACTGTATTAGTACTGTACATATTTACACGATATTTACCCGTTAGTCTTACATTAAAATCAAATATGTTTATAATGCTATTATAACAGATACAAGCACAAATATCAACGAACAACTGCAGTACCTACTACCTACCTGTATCATGCAATGATTATAATATGGATCTCCAGTTTTGGGTTCTTAATTATTACTTACATTATGTATTTATTACATAATGCAATTGTTGAGATGATTTGACGAAAATGATAGGACTATCCTAGTATAATTAAGTGTGCCTATAATATATATATATACATAATTGTTTATATAATAATAATATGCAAGTGACGAAAAAAACCAGAACTTACCGATGCTATACCATTGATTAAATATACAATAATTAAATATTTAATCAATGGCTGTACTAATACAGCAGAACATAACAATTCATTATTGTGTTGAAAAGACAATAGCTATATGACAATTAGCGCATTTGGAATTCTAACGAACACGTTAACACATTTGGAATTCTAACAAACTCATTAAAATTGTGCGACTTCTAATGAAAGTGATCAATTTATTTTAAACTCATATCAGTCTTTACTATAGTTAACAAGGATTTTATTTTGTATGTATTATAATTCAACTATGTACAGGGTGTGGCATAATGGACTCCCACATTTCCGAGGTGAATTAAAAAAAAACTATACAAGATATGGACATTTTTTTTTTATTTATTAAAACTACATTAAGTAAGGTTTTTTTAAAGTTATTTTTCAAAAATAATATTGTCCAAATGATTGCTGTATTGCAAAAAATGTTTCCTGGTCGCCTGATCTCCTTAAGGGAAAACATAACATGGCCTCCTCGCTCCCCTGATTTGAGTCCATGTGACTATTTCTTATGGGGATATCTCAAAGCTGAAGTTTTCAAACATCGACCTAGAACCATTGAAGAACTAAAAGTGGCCATCCGTCAAGAAATCTCAGCGATTCCACTCGATATGCTGGCGAGAGTAATGGACAACTTTTGAGAACGGCTCCATATGTGCGTTGCTCGTCAAGGCAATCATTTAGACGATATTATTTTTAAAAAATAACTATAAAAAAAAACTTATTTAATGTAGTTTTAATAAATAAAAAAAAATTTCCATATCTTGTATAGTTTTTTTTTTATTCACCTCGGAAATGTGGGAGTCCATTATGCCGCACCCTGTATATGAAAAAATATCTATATAGATAGAAAATACAAATGAGATCTCGCCTATGTAGTACCAGATCTATACCTAAACTGCATTTAATATATATATATTAATTTGATACTCTAGAAGAGAATAAAAATAATAATAACATACAGACCTTTGTTAACCAAACTTAAATGAAATATTTAAAATTATATCTAAAGATGGAAACTTTTTTGACATATATTTTAAATTTTAAATAATTCATCCAAATCATTTTATTTTATTTATGGTACCTATATACTATAAAAGATTCTGAAGGGCTGCCTAACACATTTTAAATATATATATATATTACCATTATAAGTATGAAAGTATGGATGTAAAGTAAACATTAGAAGTAGTGTCGATGACACTGTGTCATACCTCATTCAATCAAGCTGTCCATCCGTGTATGTTTTCTGATTCTGAGCCTCCGATTAATGTATTGGATTTACAATGATGTTTTTATTTTTATTTTTGTTGTGTCCATCATCTCCATTTGGATTAATAAAAATGCTTCAATCTTCAACTTTGAGGGTGGTTTCTGGTAGAAAATTGGATCTAGTCAGTATTTCAGGGAAAAATTCCAAGGTAGTTTTCGAAATAATCGAAAAAATCGAAAAAAAAAAAACCGGGAATATTTATGAAATACCAATTTAAGACAAAAATACAAAATTGATTTTAATATTCAATTGTGAATCAAAAATGATTAACTGTATAAGTACCTACTTGAAATAATTATTAATTATATTTATAGTATCAAATTGTCTATAGAAATCATTCAATTTTCAAAATATTTTGGCTTTTTTATCTATTTATAAATTATAGATCAGTATTTGAAATTTATAACTTTTTTTAGTTTTTATTTTTTAAATAAAAATGTTTGAAGTTTTAATAAAAGGGAAGTAAAATATCCCCATATGTTTCATACAATATTTTAAAAATATCAAAAATACATAGGTTTTGTCGGTTTTGAGTGAAGAGAGATGATTAATTTCAGTAGTCCGAGTATCAGGTATTTCCTGATATTTAAATGAATAATAACGATTTGGTTACGTTGTTATTCTAAAATATCGAGAAGATTTACTGTTATGTATCTGTCGAATATGTGTGAAGTCGTAGTGTGTACTATCATTGAGTAGGTTGCTGTAATGGATGTGTTAAATGCGAATTATTTACTATATTATTGTTATTAGTAATTTATTTTTCCATTAGAAAAATAGTAAACGGTAGGTTAAAATAATTGTTGCCAAAAAGAAATCACATAATATGTTGTAGAGAATACTAGAGATTAATAATTTTAATAAATATGAATGTGCAAATACATTAAGTCCTAACTCCTGAGGCCCTGATTATAATATAATTTTGTAGCTGTTATTAATTATTATAAGTCAATACTGACGTAAGTACCTTAGAACGGGGTGATAAATAAATATTATAACTTATAGATAGCTTAAAATTAACCAACATTTTTTTTTGTGTCTATGAAATATCAAATAATAATACAAGTTGTGGTGAAAAAAGTTAAGTTCATGTGAAATGTGAATAGATATCGTTATACATTATACATTTGAATTACTTCAAATACTCTTAAAAATGCATGTGGCTGTACACAAATTTTTTTTTTGAATTTCCAGTAAGAAAACTAATGACTAATCTTGTACTAACTACTAATAATAGTCAAGCCTTAGTTGTTAAAATTAAAAATATTATGCATTTTTAACTACCTACAAAATAAATTACACATTTTTGTGATTTTTACAAAATTTGAAGAAAATTCAACTTTAAACGATTATAAAAAACTTCGATGTAAGAACACTTACGAGTTATGAGGATCCTTGTAGTAAATTGTCAAGCTTTTTTGGTCTGAAACAAATATTTTATCAAACATAAATCAAAAATAAACTAAAAAAGTGGAACTATTTGCATACGTCGATGTTACAGATCTATATAGTTAAATAGTTCTAAAACATCCTTAAATTCACAGTTGACACCACTATTTCAGTATTTCAGGGTCGTTAATCTTGACGACATTTTGTTTATATTAAATTATGAGCAATTTTTTAACTAAAAAAAGTATCATCAGACAAAAACACTAATATATGAACATCGTTGTAACTATTGTAAGGTACATTGGTATTGTTTAATAATAATAATAATAAGAAGAAGAAGAAGAATAATAATACATATTATGATATTTTAATACTACAATAATTATTATGTAATATATTATTAATTATAATTACTACTCATTGATAAGTAAGCAGTAATATACAATTTAAATTTAAATTATTTTATATGATAAGATTCAAAAGCCATATTATATATTTTTATGGGAAATAAAAATGAGTATACAGCAACAGTATTTTTTGATGTTGTTTATTATCTGTGAAAATACCTATCTATAATGGTAAATATTTACGTTATCAATACGCAAATTTAAACAATTATTATTAAATAATATTGATACTTATATAGGTAACTAAGTGGTTTGATTTTTGAATTCATCCGTGTTCAGTAATTTTAAGTGTATCATGCGGAACATTGGAGTATTGGACCAATCAATAAACCTTCATCTTATGAATAACAATATACCATTTTTATTTATTTAATTTTTATTGGGTTTTTATCGCATTATGAGAAATCACAATTATTGACCTGTTTACTACCTAATAAATGTTAAATACATTATATCAAAGTTTAATTGGTCAATTATTAATATAATAAATAAATAAGACTAAACCAAAATTGTCATGTTATTTATAATTTGGACATTTATAAACTACAATACTAACTACCATGTTGACAGACATGACTGCTAATTACTGTAATTTGGTAGTAATCTGACTAGATTTTTATATATTTTTTAGAATATTTTTTATTTTTTTTTGCCCGAATTGTTAGTAAGTCACAATAGGCCACTAGATAATTTCTATTGTGGTGAAGCCATAAGAAACGCAACTGCTTAGCAGTCATGCCATTTTACGACTTTTAATGTATAACTGCTATAGCAGTTACTATCCGTCAATGTACTACAAATTACAATACTGCGTTTTACATCTAGGGTATATGATTATAGGGAGAATATTTTAGGTATTTAGATTTTCGATCACTGTAATCGATGTTTTAAATTTGAATTCGGTGATAAATTATTATATACCTACGAAATACAATTCTGAGCAATGACACAAGTGACACTTCATTCTGTTAACCTCTATTTGATATTTCTATAGATATTTTATAATTTAATTATATTATAACTACGGTTATCAGTGCTTACTGACAATCGATAAAATGTATAAGTAGCAACAATAAATTATAAATAATACTACGTCGATGTATGGTATAAACTCAGGTGTAGAACTATAGGGAATAAAATTACGATAAATTATTTTTTGTATAAATTACATACATTTTAAACAAAATCTATAATTAGGTACATGAGTTTAGATAGTGTGCGCTACATGTTCTACATAGAATAAGCCACGTAGTCATTTAGGTATGCAATACAAATTTATTAATATTTTTAATTAAAATATTATTGTTATTAATTTATGAACTATAAATTCTCGGATGAAGTTTTACTAATGAGTAATGACTAATGCACTTTTTATACCTACTGATAATTTAAAATATGTATTTTTTAACAAAATATATTAAACATTAGGATTAGATTAAATTTGAATGTCTAACTTTGATAATGATATGAGTATATGAATTATGAGTACATCATATGACTATATCAATTATCAACTATCAAGTATAAACTTTACTATATTTTTCAAAATGCAATACCTGCCTTAGGCTACCTAGTTATTATTTATTTTATTTATATAATATTTTAATAGATATGTACCTATTACAAACTATGTAAGTAGGTTAATATTATACGTTACTATTATATTACTATAATAGGTCCTGTATTGGCATATACACATGTCTACTACTGATAACTTATATATTATATAAAAGCTGCAAACGAGTATTATGTCCCAAATACAGACTTGTGTCTCTCAGATTTTTTCAGGTTATACGAGTAAAATAACAAAACAAATATTTTTAATAATATTACACATCAGGAAAACATTTAAATAGCGAAAAAAAAATACAATATATATTATGTACAAATGTACAATATTATATATTTTTTTTTTTTAATTGATCTTTTTAAAGCCCGGCGACTATGGCCATTAGCTTGATTGTAGGGTTTATGATTGTAGGTAGTAGGGTTGGAAATTGTAGGGTTATTACACGTGTGTGTTGTGTTTGGCAGAATTTCTATTGGGGCACCCGTAGGTTTCTGTCATGCCCCGGAGTGGGGGATGGCGGCACTTGTTCTCCGGACACCGTGACTTGCCCGGAGAAAAATGCCACCCAGTGGTCGAGAGAATCGAACCCGCGACCGCCAGCGCCGCAGACGACGTGTTCGACCGCTCGGCCACCTCGTCCCCCCAATATTGTATTATATTATTTTTGAAGTGCAGTAAATATTGATTCGTAATACTTACAAGGCCAACCACCGAGCCACACCAGGCCCTAAATTATAATATGTATGTAGTACAAATAAAAATAATCTTTAAGAAAAATACGGCCGGAAACCAGATTCTTAAAATTGGAAATAAAATTCTAAAAGTAGATTAATATTCTTTAAACTGATTACTGAGATAAGTTAATATTATTTTCCATAATACTAACTTTTACCTTATCGAGTTAAATTTATGATTTGTTAAATGTTAAATTCTAATTTATTGATCTTGTGTTCTATTCAACTTAACTTGAGTTGATTATTTTCATTAAGAGGACGCCATACC